AAGTCTTGTCTTTCGCGGCGTTCATCCTCTTGTTGATCTCATCCTCGGAGATGTTTTGCGGCTCGCGGAGAGTCTCCTCGGTGATCTTGGGTTCTTCGCTTTCGCGCGGCCAGCCGGCCCCGATCGGCCAGCCCTTGATGCCTCGTTGGCGAGCGTAGCCGTCTACGACGGAGAGCCAGTTCTCGCGCTTGATGTCGGCTGAGGCGTCGAAGGCAATGATCACGTCCACATCCCGACCAGGTCGGAGCAACGGGTAGATGGGGAGGTTGTTGCTCATGCCTGCATCCATGAGACGGAGATGCTTGCTCTGAAAGATCGAGTCGGGGCATGAAGCGGGCAAGAGGTCCTTCATTCCTAGGACGTAGTTCGGGATCGCGGCTGGGTCAATAGGGTGGACCCGGATCAGGTCCTTCGTCTTGCCCTGAATCAAGGAATCGATGCCGCCGAATCCAGTAATGCCCCTCACCACGGGTCGGATCTCTTTGTAATAGTGAGATAGAGTGGCACAGAAAGCGCTACCCCAGATACCCATGAGACCCGGCACGCGGAGTTCGGGGATGGGGGATATTTGTTCACGCTTGACGTTGGCTCCACCGTAGAAGTGTCTTCCCAATGCCCAGGTCGGTATGCCGGCACCGAGTTCCTCGCAGAAGAACTCGTACGGCGTGAACTCGAACCATTGGAACCAAGCTTCGTTTTTCGATTCTTTGATGACATCCTCAGGCTTGGCCTGTTTGCCGTCTTCATTCTTGATCTCGACTGTGGGGATCTCATGGCGGACGGCAGTGTAGATAGGAAGTGGGTGCGCTCCATTGGTGAGATTGTACCTTTGATTGGAGAGCTTAAGATCTCGATCACAAACCCCCAATTCGCCTTTGGGTACTAACAATCTTGCAGCCAATAGCATGCCGTATATGTCGACCAGACCGAAGTCGGCGCCGGGATCGCCCTTCAGCTTCTCGACCAATCCGCTCAGCAGATATTTGTTGGTGGGTGCGGTAGTGAGCAGCTTAAGTGCTGCCGGAGGAAACGCTAAGTGGATTCCCAGCCTATTTTTCAGGTGATCGACCTGCTTGTTGAAGTTACGCCCCGTGATAGACGAATGGTACAATGTTTGTAGCCAGCAGCTTCCGCTCACTCCTGCGGTGTAGGTCACGCAGTCCCAGAGCCCGGCTTCTTGGGCCGCGAGATACGAGCCTGTGCCGGCGACAAGCGCACGTAGACCTCCCCCGGAGCCACACATCGCTATGGTAGGGACATCGTCGGGATGAATATCCTCTTCGTTGATGTTGAGATAGGACGCAAGGGCTGTCACGGCGTACTTTCGTCGTCTTTCCCTGTACACCAGTTCCTCATCACACAGAGTATCCCCGACCCGGACTCTTGCCTTTCGTAGAATCTCAGGGTTGATGTCCGGATCATGAGCTTCCTTCCAGATCTCGTCGGCAAGGGAACCAGGGGCCATTGATAGTTCCCGCTGGAGCTTCTGCACCGATGCAGGTAGCAAGCGGGTCCAATCGGGAATAATGTAATTTTTGAGGTTCTCTAGCTCAATCCAGTCCGGGGTGCCCACTGATAGCTTGACGCCCTCGAACTTCCCCAAGATATTGGTCCAAATCGACCCCGCATCGTCATGATGCGCGTCTTGTCTCGAGCCATGCCCTGGCAAGTAGTCGCTGAGTGAGGTCTTTTTCGAATCTTTGTCCGCGAAGACGGAAGAAGTGGTAGAAAAGAGGGCTCTCGGCTCGGCCTGCAGCAGCAGTTGCTTATTTGGGAGGTATCGACCACCGGCGACGTAGAGTACCCCGCCGCCCAGGGCAATTAGAAAGGTAGGAGGAATTGTCCAATGCAAGCGCGATGCTTTCGCAGCACCCATGGTGAGATGGGTACTCCGTAGGATGAGAGGAGCAGTGGCGGGCAGCATGCAATGGTGAAGTCCATAACGGAGGAGGGGGAAAAGTTGAGTCCAGACCGCGACGATCAGGTACTACTTAAACAAATTCCAAGTTCCGTTCTTCATTCCGTCGGATTCGAGCTGGTCGGAAGGAAGTGTAGCCATTTCCATTACATCATATCATGTGATGCATCAATGTTGGGCTTCAGCCAAAGTCCGGTACGCAAGACGGGCCGAAAATACCATATCGAGGCAAGCGCGCATTGCGGAGTCACGCAGCAAAGCAAAGCAAAGCAAGCAAATGCGCCCGGTGTCCGTCCGGGGCAGACGAAGAAGGGGACCTACTCGGAGCCTCTTACTCAACGCTTGGAGGTAACTATATTAAACCAACTGTCATGCTTGTTTCATGAGGCCAGGTGCCTCGTTGGTCAGCTCTTGATTCTGACGTGTCGCCTACTCATCTAATTTCATCTAATTTCTTCCCCTTAATTAGTCGTATCTTGTTGTCCCGTATCGCATTATCGCATTGAATGAGCGAGGAATGACGTCTCTCCGTTCTTGCATGGTCGATTTTATTTACGAATAATCCCTGATTGTCTGATGTTAACGGTGGGACCGGCCGATCGAGTCTTCCTTCGCCATGGTCGCCCCAAGGAACGCCGCATACGCCGAGGAGAGTGCAGAGGTTGAGGTTCTCTACGCCAACCTTGAGAAGCTGAAGCTCCTCACCAAGAAAATCCAGGGCTCCTTGGTGCGTCTTGAGACCGGCGGAAACGTGGTCAAGCATGCCATCGGCCCTATCTACAGTAATACCCAATCCCTCCAGATCACAAACAGCAACATTGAAAAGGTCAATGAAGCTATTGAGCGCCTGCGCCAACCCCTCAACGCCAAGGGTCAAGAGGAAGGCATTATCCGTTCTGAGTATGCATCCTCCAGTAACACCACTGCCACCGACTTTCTTCAATCTTGCTGACCCCCTAAAGCCCTCAGAGTGTCGGAGTATCGCAATATCTTTCGGCTGTGAGACGTGTAGAAAAGGCGCTCGCGGACTTGAACTCTACCAATCTGCGATCCAACCAGAAAGCAATCACGGACTTCAACTCTTTACTGAGCCTCGGCAATTCGCAGCTTCAAGACTTGCTCCGCAGCCGGCTAGGCGAAAATGTCGGTGCCATCGAGCCATTACACTACTTAACCAAAGGTATGCAGCCATCTGACATCCCCAATTAATGAAAGAAGGCTGACATTCACTACGTGTAGAGCTCCCGTTCCCCTCACTTCCCGACGACGTCCTCACCGAATTAGGACCCGTGTGCGCCACTATTGCCTCTGCAGCAAGCTATGGGCCTCAACGAGATGGCGGGAATCCCGCGCTCAAGATATACTCCGATTTACGAGGACCATATATTACGGCGAGTTTGCAGAACCTTGCTATAGCGTCATTGAATACCGTCAAGCGAAGAGCTGCGGACGGCCCTTACCGACAAGGCACAAATGGCATCGGCATCTACTCCAATGCCTTGGAGAGCTTCATCTACACGGAACATGATATGATAGTGAGGATATTCACTGGGGGAGAGCGTGGTTTGGCTCTGCAAGCGACGTGTCGCTCGGCCTTGACTGAGTACTCGCAGACACTTCGTGAGCTCAATCACTACATCCGATCCAACCTAATGACGGACTGTTTTCTGGCTTTCGAGATTATAGAAATCGTTACTGCGATGTCTTATCGCGTCGATTCAAAGACAGGAGAACTTAAGAGCTTGTTTATCGAGGCGCTGCGGCCTGTGCGTGAAACAGCCAAATCATCCCTCTCGGAGCTCCTCGAAGAAACGAAGCGCAAGGCCGCAAGTATATCTATGCTGCCCCCGGATGGCGGATCAGTGCCTCTTGTGGGTGAGGTGATGAGCTCTCTGGCCACGTTAACTGGATACTCCGGACCCCTGGCATCGATCCTGACCTCTTTGGGTGATGGAAACTGGCATTCGACCGCCAACGCAGCCACTACGCCCTTGGATGTCAGTCCAGACAGTTCGACCCTGTTGTCGCATTTCATTCTTGATATGATCGAAGCCCTAATGATCGCGCTTGAGGCACGAGGTCGAGCACTTCATCGCTCCAAGGCAGTACAGGGAGTGTTTCTGTCAAACGTCTTTTGCACCGTGGACCGCTCTATCAGGTCGAGCCCAGAGCTAGCCAAATATCTTGGCTCTGGAGACAGCATTGCACGGATTGACTCCTTCCGGAAACGGGCGACATCGACATATCTTGATGCTTGGAAGGAGACGTCTCACTACCTTCTCGATGTGCAGTACACCTCCCGTGGTTCCGGTCGGCCAACGTCCGGAGGGGTGGTTGATTCCAGCGCCATTGTTAAATCGCTGTCGTCCAAAGATAAGGACGCGATCAAAGACAAATTCAAGGCATTCAACGCCAGTTTCGAAGATCTGGTGACTCGCCACAAGGCTCTTTACATGGAACGCGAGGTGCGCGGGGTTCTCGCTCGGGAGGTGCAGGCAGTCCTGGAGCCTCTCTACGCGCGGTTTTGGGATCGTTACCATGAGATCGACAAGGGCAGAGGCAAGTATGTCAAATTCGACAAAGCAAGTCTCTCTGCGCAGTTGGCGGCGTTGGGATGAATGCGGGCCAAACCCGCAACAAGCACTGTGGGGTCCGCCGTACCGAATGCAGGAGGTTGGTCGTGTTGATCATTTGCCCTTTGGTGGATGGGTGGGAATAAACGAGGGCCAATTGGCGGATATAGGTTTCTTCTCGTAATGTTTTATTCTAACTAGAATATTTTTTATAGTATATTATTCTTGGTAACCACCATTGACTACTACTGTACAACTGTAGGGCATACTACTCCGTTCTCCGTAGGCAGTAATACTTGAAGTTCACCAGTCGCAGTGGACGCATTAGGAAAGATCGGAAAATCGAAAGTCGAAAAGGGGTCGTGCGTTTTTCCCCCACGTCGGGACCGTCCGTCATGTGATGATTAGCCCCTCCAGATGATAACGTGACTGATAAGCGGAGACCCCGCTAAGAGTCATCCAGCCCGCTGTAAATTTTCCTGGCTCTACGCACACTTCTCGACTCCATCCACTCTGTTTCCTCCATTTCTGCCTTTCAATTCCTGTGGAAATCCCTCCAATCCCGTTTCATACAGGATGTCTTCCAGCAACGATGTCTACCAGACCCCTCTCAACTCGCGTTATGCGAGTAAGTTCCTCCTGACACCTCCTTGACGATATCTGCCAGCCGGAGCGATATCGGACTAATTGTTGTTCGGGTGTTCAGGCAATGAGATGAAGTATCTCTTCTCTCCCCGGAACCGCTTCTCTACCTGGAGACAGCTGTGGTTGTGGCTTGCTGAGTCGGAAAAAGGTGATTATCCTTTGTCGCTGTGCAACAGCTCTTTCTTTCCATCTCCATATCGCAGTCTGCGAGCTGCCGACTAATCAGACGGCCCCTTCTCCCAGAACTCGGTTTGGCTATCTCCGATGAGGCGATTGAGCAGATGAAGGCTCACCTGGTCATCCAGGATGACGAGTTCAAGGTTGCCGCAGAGGAGGAGAAGCGTCGGAGACACGACGTCATGGCCCACGTTCACGCCTACGGCCAGGTCGCCCCCGCTGCCGCGGGTATCATCCACTGGGGTGCCACCTCGTGCTACTGCACGGACAACGCCGATCTGATCTTCCTCCGCGACGGTCTCGATATCTTGATCCCTAAGCTTGCCGTTGTCATTGACAAGCTGTCTGCCTTCGCCAAGCAGTACAAGGATCTGCCCTGCCTGGGTTTCACCCACGGCCAGCCCGCTCAGCTGGTCACCGTCGGCAAGAGAGCTTGCTTGTGGATCCAGGACTTGCTCATGGATCTGCGCAACCTCGAGAGAGCCCGCGATGATCTGCGCTTCCGCGGTGTGAAGGGTACTACCGGTACTCAGGCCTCTTTCCTCCAGATCTTCAACGGCGACCACGACAAGGTCGAGCAGTTGGACGAGCTGGTCACCAAGAAAGCCGGTTTCGACTCTGCTTTCATCATCTCCAGTCAGACTTACTCCCGTAAGATCGATGTCGATGTGGGCAATGCCCTCGGCTCCTTCGGTGCCACTTGCGAGCGCATTGGTATCGACATCCGCCACTTGGCCATGCTCAAGGAGGTCGAGGAGCCCTTCGAGAAGGACCAGATTGGCAGCAGTGCCATGGTGAGTTGCATTCTCTGACAACAAGCTACGGAATAAAGGCTAACGGGATTGTTCCTTCACAGGCCTACAAGCGTAACCCCATGCGTTCCGAGCGTCTGTGCTCCCTCGGAAGACACCTTCAGAACCTCCCCAAGGACGGCTTGGATACCTACTCTGCCCAGTGGTTTGAGCGCTCGCTGGTGAGATACTTTCCGCCTATTTGTTAGCCATGAAACCATCTGACAATCAGCAAACAGGACGACAGCGCCATCCGCCGTATCAGCATTCCCGAGCTCTACCTCTCCGCTGACGCTTGTCTCATCCTCCTGAGTAAGTGGCGACGATGCCAGCTCTAACACTAGAATTCAATCGCTAACCAGCCCATCATCGCAGACAACGTCACCTCCGGCTTCGTCGTTTACCCCGAAGTCATCAAGCGCCGTGTCAACGACGAGCTTCCTTTCATGGCCACGTATGTCCCCCAATTATTACCCCTAGAAGATGAGTCCCAGCCACTAACCAACCCAACAGTGAGAACGTAAGCCTCACCCCGCGAAAACAATCTTTCCTTCACCACAACTCCCCTCTTCAATAAAAAAAAAAGAAAAAAAAACTGACCACCACTAGATCATCATGGCCTGCGTGAAGAAGGGTCTTTCCCGCCAGGACGCCCACGAGGAAATCCGTATGTCTTATGAAGCACATCAATGTCCCACTCTATTCCATCCTTCTAACCACAATCCCCAAAATGCAGGCGTCCTCTCCCATCAAGCCGCCGATAACGTCAAGAAGCACGGCAAGGACAACGACCTCCTCGACCGCGTCCGCCGCACCGCCTTCTTCGCCCCGATCCTGGACGAGCTCGACCAGCTGCTCGACCCCAGCACCTTCGTCGGCCGCGCCCCGCAGCAGGTCGAGAAGTTCACCTCCACCGAGGTCAAGAAGGCCCTCCAGCCCTACGAGGCCTCCCTCGCCTCGGCCGAGACGGCCGCTCTGTATGTATAGACACAAACTTTCAAGCCCTGGTAATTAGTCCCGTATGGGCTGTGGGAGACGAAGAAATGTCAAAAAAGTCTTTTCAAGAGGGACAGAAGGGGGAGAAAAGTAGATGCGATAGCCAGATCAGTTTAGGTGGGATTTCGCGATTTCGGGAAGAAAAAGTGTCCGGGTGTAGCAGAACCGAATCCGGGGTGCGTTTTTGGTTGTTGTTGTTGTTGTTGTTGTATGATTGCAAACGGGTCTTGTATATACGGTATATGGCTTTAATTGATGATAGCAATCGATTCATACTCTATGGAGTTCAGAAGGGATTGTAGTCCGTCTGGATTAGTGGAGAGAACATGACCGACCCATTCTTGTCTATTGCTGAGATGACCGACCGGGAGCCGAGATGTATGTCTCGGAGACAGAAGAACGAAATAAGGTGGGATAGAGTTTTGACAGTAAGGCCGCAGTGCAGGGGGCCAATTGAGTTGGGCACTGGCCATGAGTCCGAAAGGCTAGAGTCAATCCCGTCTAAGAGCCGCGGGCTCGGCCCTTGTGTGACTTCCCCAAAGAGGGATCCACGGCTGAGTGGTGCCTGCGGGCCTCAGGCCCCTGACCCCAAGTCCGGGCCTTCAGCACAGACGAGCATATACAGTATGTTAAAGTACGGGCTGTGAGTGATTTTACTTGCAAGTCATAATGTCATGATCTATCTCTAAATTCTTATCCGCCTACAAACTCGAAACTCGAAACTCGAAACTCGAAACTCGAAACACGAAACACGAAACACGAAACACGAAACACGAAACACGAAACACGAAACACGAAACACGAAACACGAAACACGAAACACGAAACACAATATAACAAACAAAAATGAAGGGGGAAAAACAAAGCAAGAAGATAAGAGATGAACCGAAAAAACACACGTACACACGAGGTGGAGCATGAGCACATGAGACTTTTTTACCCCTGCGTAAGAGAAATAGGAGACGAGATGGCCCCGAGTATGATAAGCGGATAGAGAAATCAGGGCAGCGGATGCAATGCCCCCTGAGTAATATGTGCTAGAATGGAGAAAGACGGAGAAGGGGGGAAGGGGAGAAGGGTCGGTAGGCTGGAGATCTTGGTTCGACATGTTTGTTTCATTTACTATTACAGAGAAGGGTTATGTTAGTTTAGATGAGCCTAGTGGTACATCGAGCAGCCAAGAAAGGTAGTGGGGAATGTGGTGAGACAGTAACGAGCATGATAGAGATGATAGGAAACGCACCATGCCACACTCAAACGATATGGTTCTTATTTTCATACAATGTCGTCCTTGTCAAGTACTTTGCAGGTAGTTGTTTCTCCTAGTCGTATCAGGGCCATGAATGTTGGCCTCAAATGAAAGTTGTTTCTCTTAGAAGGTTGAAAGCCAGTTGATGATCTGTACATATTAGATCGAGAAGCGAATGAGAGGAAAAAGATGGTAACGTACCATCATCGCTTGCACCAGAGCGACTTGCTCACCGTAGTGCTTTCCGTCCCAACTCTCGGCCTGCAGCGTCGCATTATACAATCCCAGGGCATCCATGCCTCGGGCACGGGCTTCCTTGATAGTGTCTTGCGAATACTGCCAGCTGGAAGCGTGGATGTTGTCCCTAGCGTCCTTCCGGAGGCCAGGGGCGGTGGGACCGAGCCAAAGGAAAGGGGTGTTTTGTTTGGTCGCCTTGGCCATGGAGAGCCATTCATCCATGCTCTTCTGGGCTGCCGGTAGAGAGTATGATGTCGAAAGCGAGAGGCTCAAGATCACGGGGACGGGCTTTCTTCGGTCCGCGGCTCTTCCTGTCAGGCGGCGGAAGTGGTCGCGGGCACTCTTGGAGGCCGTGGAACCATCGGTGGAGAGGAAAGCATGAGATGCACCTTAATTCAACCTAGAGGTCAATTTCCGACCCTTAAAGAGAGCTTCGGCATGATATAACCACCGGGTCACTCACGGGAGGGGCACGAGTATGGGGCCCGGAAGGCGGGGCCACCGCTTTGTGCATCAACTTGGTCACTCGAGGTAATACGCATGGATAGACACGCTGCTTGGGTGAATTGGGACTCGCATCGACATCTCTGGCTCAAGTCCTTGTCCATTTCCCAGTCTCTAAGAGAGCCGGTCGCGAGATTCTGCCGCAGAAGGATGTTGAACCCCGCATAGGCGTCGGCTAGGGCATCATCTCCCACAAAGACAATCCCATCGAATCTCTGCAGGATTTCACACACTTCAGAGCTGGAGTACCAACGATAGGCACAATCTGGACGGCGAGTCAGCCGGAGGGTCACGAAGGGTTGGTTGCTGTCTGAGCGGATTTCTCGGCAAAGTGCCCGACAGCGGGGCCACAGTAAATCTTGTCACTTGCCTTGGGAGGTGTACGCAGCATCGAACCCATGACGACCACCATTGCTCATGGCACTTAGCAGTTCATCTCGGGTTGAGCAGTACGCTGGGTTGGATGCTCGTCCATCGCCGGTTGACGGGGTGTTGTAGAGGGACAATGAAGAGATGCCGCACTCACGTCGGCCCACATAATGAGCCAGTAAACTATGTATCAAAGCGGGCTGAATAAGTAACTCTGGCCACTGACTGACTCGCGGGAGGCAAAGGTTTAGGGACGGCAGGGCCCGAACTTACTCGGTTTGAGATTCATGGCGAATGGGGCCCTTCTGCGAAGGGGTGAAAGGCAAATAGAAGATGTCTCGGATGAGCCAGACAATATAGAAGACGCCCAACACCCACAGACAAGCCATCAATTTGTATGTGGAGGATCGCCAGGTGACTCTACGAATCAACCTTCGTCCGTTGGGTCCCTCGATCGGACCCCGTCGTGGTGGAGCATTGTTCTGTTGCGTTCCAGAGAATGGATAGGCAAACGCCTCGTTCATCGCGGATGATAAGCCCATTGGTTCGCTATGGGAAGCACGGCGACGAGACATATTGGGGAGGGGAAACAGGGTTTTTCTTTACATGCACTTGCAGCTGGGGAGGGATGGTAGTACAAGAAGAGGAGGGTTTAGGGAAGATGCATCTGCTGGGAAGGACAACAACTTTCTGGGGGGTTCCGTTTGCTTTAGGGTAACGAAAGTCTGCGTGGCAAGACAGAGACCGAGCAGAGCAGAGAGGCCCGCAGTAGAAGGAGATGAGCCCCGCCAAACAGCCCGAGGGGTATCCGGAAGGAGGGGTGAGGTTGATAGTAAAAGTACTGGAGACGAATCCAGGCGCGGCACAGAATGACGGCGATGCTGATGAGACCTGAGACCAGAGAGGGGCACAGAACGGCCAGGACGTCAGGCGCCTGTCCTTTCGTCGTCCTCTTCCTTTATTGTGGCTTTTTGTTTCCGTAACTCTCACTGTCACCGTGACTCTTTTTCTCCTGGCCTGGTGTTCTCTGCCTCTGTTCTGTCTTGCTTCCTGGCCTTTGGGTGTTTCTGTCCCTCGAGGGCTGCCTGCTAGATAGTCGACGCACTCGACTGTCCCACGTGCAATTTCCTTGCCCTCTACACTCGCAGAGTTGCAATTCCTTTGGGGGTCTCTCCAGTGTTCACTTTGCCCCTGCGAATTAACCAATACGAAGCCTCCAAGGTCTTAGGCCACAGGCACGCACAGTGGATGAACCGGGCAGAAATCGGCTTAAAAAGGAAAGATAGTAGTAATCATGGGAGGGGCTAATAGACTGGATCCGAGCCAGTTATGGGCTGAATTGCGGCATCAATGGTAGCATGGACGCGGAAAAGGCAATGCTGGAGAAGTTGCGGATCCTCCCTATCGGGTCTTTGCTGATGATCAGTGAGTGCACGACCCAATTTCAAAATAGAGGTACAACATTAACAATCAGAATTGAAAACAACTAGGAAATCAAGACAACTTTTTGAAGGGAGATGGTGGGTTAAAAGGAGATGGTCCAAGCGAATTCTAAAGATTAAAGTCGAGGAGCAGTAGAAAATGAAAAAAGATAAAAATTAAAAAAAAAAATACTAGAAAAAAATACCAATGAAAAAAAAGAGGGTTCGATGTCGTGCGGCGCACTTTTGTATCATAGCCCACCCCATTTTTTTTCAAGTCTAAGAAGACAAGACGCCCACAAGGCCGTCAAAATATGAAATGAACAACTAAAGTGGAAAATGAAAGGGAAAACAGTCTAGGAAAAGATCCTCTGCAAGTCAACGAACTGGTCGATGGGTCTCTCGATCCGTCCGCGTCCACAAAACGGGCTAACTTATAATAACGGTGAATAATAATAAATCCAATCCACCCACACACAAACAAACGGGCGCCTCGGAGTAAGAAATTGATCCGGCATATCAAAGGAGCCTCTCACTTACCTTGTATAAACAGTACAATCAGCCGGATGAGCGAAGTGCTCTGGGGGGTAGGCAGATCTGTTAAAGCAGTAGAGCTTAGACAGTCGCGAGAAGTTTTGCGACAAGATCGGATGTCGAGGCCAGGTAGAGATTAAGAAGTTAAAGGAGAGCGCTGCTTTTGGTGCTCCTTTTTTGTTCGAGGGACCGAACAGTCAGTCCACCGCACGGTGCGGTGACAGCCACTTAAATGATCTGGCGGAATACTCTCAACGGACAATTGGTATTCTGGTTGGTGGGCCAGACAGGTGTCAAAAAGTTAACGAGACCTAACGAGACTCCACTATCAAGAAAAAGTTTCAGAGGGACGAAAGACGAAGAATCATAGTCTCTCTCGACGTTCAGCTGTAGTTAAATGATGTCGTTCGGGGAGTGACAAGGTCTAGAGTCGGTCCTTGTCAGACCCATGCTAAGGGGTGGTGGGCGAGGATCAAGAGATCGCAGGGTTCCCTTTCGTGGCCCTGCTCGGTACAGGGACTTTTGTTCGACGGATCTAAGGCATCACTGCCAGCGTCGTCGAGCATGACGACGATATGATGAACAAGACCCAGCCTGAATGGAGCATGAGAGGTGTGGTTGGGCATCGCTTCAATCCTTTTTCTTTTCTTTTTCTCTCCAGCCCTATGCGACAGACGGTGATGTCGTGGTATACCTACTTACAGTACCTCAAATGCTGGTCCTATCATCATTATTAAGACCAAGGCTAAGCGTAATTGGGCCCAGTGGGTGTCCTGAGCACTAAGTAGAGAGGAAAAGCTGTCCACGGTGATCACCGTTGCCGCGGCCGTTGTTTAAATAAATCTCTCGCTTGTTTCTCATTGCTTTTTCTTCCCGTTTCATCTCGACCATCCGAGGGAAGGACGAATTTGTCTGTCCTCGCGTGACGAGTTATCGGTGAGACCTCATCGCGCTGATTACCAAGCATAGCGAATCCAGTGCCGAATATACAGACCATTGACATTTTTATCGGTAGCGATTTACAGCTATGGAGAATACGCGAGACTACGGTCAAGCAACCGTCGTTCCCTTCCTTAGGGGTTCCAGATCGAGCGGGATGCTTCAGTCCACGGCAAATGTTCGACCGGGATTCTAGATGGTTGCTATTTGTATCGGGAGCATGTGAGTCACTGAGCGGTGAGTTGGGAGGCGACCAGGGGGGTTCTGGGGGGGGGAAGGGGGTAAATGTGAAACCGGCCGGTAGTGGTGACATTTTCGTACTTAGAATCCGGGGAGACACGAGATGTACACAAGCTTGTCTCGAACCTTAAAGAACCGCGGGTAGCAAGCACGACAACCCCGGACGCAAGAAACCTAATCAGGTACCTCGACGGAGTGTGACGGAGGAGAACCAGTGACCAGGGACGCGGATTGGGATGAATTGCTTCGAAGAGACATTCGGGTGGACAATTCAGAGTGCACAAGTCTTACCCCGAGAGTCAGGCGGCTGACCAGTCGGAGTATCTGCGTCGTGCCGCGTCGAACCATCCTCGGGCGAAGGGGAGATCCGGGACGTTGTAACGTGCAGCTCATTTGCACCGGTAATTCCTCCGTGCTCAGTGGCAGGTCTTGGCGGTGGACGATTGTGGTGTGGTGAGGAAAGCAAAGTCAATAAATAGCAGCTAGCTTGGTAGCTGGAGTGACAGACATGGTCTGATCATGAGCAGCTTACCTGAATGAGAAGTAGTCAGCGCATAGGAACAAGTCGAGTGTAAAGTGTAAAGTGTAAAGTGCATTCACTCACTCACTGAGTAGTGAGAGTACGGACGGAGTACTCCAATACTTGCTGTACGGATCGGCTGATTATTGCCTGCGAGGAACTTAGTCAGGACGGTACAAACTGCTTCCTCGGCCCATCACGGGATTGGAAGCGGTCTTTTCCCCCCACCATGGCACGTGACCGTCTTCCCCCGGGAATCGCAGAGAGTCTCCGCAACTTGGAACAACTTTCCCCAAAGGAGTCATTCGCTGCTGCTGCTGCTGCTGGTTGTCCAGCCCAGTCCGCGTCCAGAGCTTACTTACTTCCCTCTGCCCGCATCTTTCCTTTCCCACTCTCTCTTCCTCTCTCTTTTCCCCTCCCTCCATCTTTCCTCTTCTTCTCTTTCCTTCTTCCCCCTTTCCCCAGACTGCTCGTGTGCTCACCTATAACCATCTATATCTTCAAAAAAGTTTCAGTTTTTTTTCCATTGGGTTCTTGTGTCCGTCAATCCCGAGTCACCTTCCCACCCTGAGATCCCACTCCGGGGCCTCTTACCGCCCGCCGTTCCGGAGCTCGCCTGCGAGACGGAGGGGACTACCCCAACCTCGGTAGTTCTCCTTACAGCCTTCTGCATTCGTCCCAACTTTGATTTTACTGACATTCATTTCTCCTGCCTAGCTGTTGACTTGCGAGAGTTTGTTCCTCATCACATTGGTTTTGACCAGCGCAATTCCAGGCCGTCCGGCCTGATACCCTCAACATCATGTGGAAGCCGTCGGAGAGACTGATGGACACCATCAGACACTATGCCAGCTTCCCAGCGACCGGCGTCTCTCTCCGACAAATGGTTCAATTTGGAGACAGACCATCAGTTGGTATGTGTTGATATGCTTGCGCATCCTGAGATACTTCTTCATCCACATGACGCCGGGGAGATGACCGACATCGGCTAATCTCGTGATTGCTACCCGCATACAGGCACTCTGTTCCGAGCGTCACAATTCCTCTCAGAAGAACTACCCATTCGTCTCGCCCATCGTGTCCAGGATCTTGGAGAACTTCCCGATGGACTCAGTGAAATGCCCTCGATCAAAAAAGTCCAAGATTGGTACGCACAATCGTTCGAGGTATGACTCACCCACCGCCCGCCCGGGGTTATGTCCGCCGGAGTTGTCGCTGACGTCCCCGGCAGGAAATCATTACGCTGCCGCGACCCACCCTCACCCAGGAAGTCAAGGCCCGCCTGCTGCGCCCGGGAAAGCTTAACGGCGGGACCTCGAGGATCCTCTCGGAAGTCACACAGAACCCCAGCATTCGCGAAGGACAGTATCGATCCTCCCCGTCCTCTACGTCAAACGGCAATGGAAATGGCAAGGCTGCGGCCTCTCGAAGATATTATGCACCATCCGACGATCAAGGAAATTGGCCACCGGAGCTGAACGACTACAACGAGCGATTTTCACAGACACTCAAGGAAATCAAGCGAAGACACGACAGCGTCGTGACTACTGTGGCCCAGGGTATTCTCGAGTGGAAACGGAAGCGTCAGCGCCTGCAAATCGACTCGACAGTTCAATCCTTCCTCGATCGCTTTTATATGTCAAGGATCGGCATACGAATGTTGATTGGGCAGCATATCGCATTGACTGAACAGACTCACGTAAAACATCCACACTACGTCGGAATAATCTGTACCAAGACAAATGTGCGGGAGATAGCCCTCGAGGCGATCGAAAACGCCCGTTTCGTCTGCCAGGATTATTACGGATTGTTCGACGCCCCCAAGGTGCAGCTTGTGTGCAAAGAGGACCTGAACTTTATGTATGTGCCAGGACATCTGTCGCACATGCTCTTCGAGACCCTGAAGAACTCCTTGCGTGCGGTGGTGGAGGCCAATGGTGTGGACAAGGACAACTTCCCCGTCACCAAGGTCATCATCGCGGAAGGAAAGGAAGATATCACAATCAAGATTTCCGACGAAGGTGGTGGCATTCCTCGGTCTGCCATTCCCCTGGTTTGGACGTATATGTACACTACCGTGGAGCAAACCCCAAGTCTGGACCCGGATTTCGACAAGAGCGACTTCAAGGCTCCCATGGCCGGGTTTGGCTACGGTCTTCCGATCAGTCGTTTGTATGCTCGGTACTTTGGCGGTGATCTGAAGTTGATCAGCATGGAGGGGTGAGTAGCGAGCCTTCCTGGCAGGAAATACAAGAAGCACGATGACTGACACCTCTCACGCAGATACGGGACGGATGTCTACCTCCACCTGAATCGACTCTCTTCGAGCTCGGAACCCCTGCAATGACAATTACCAGTCATGAGGGATGGTCGTGTCCGGTTCTCTACTTCCCACAGACTGCATCCTTTCTACTCGGAACCGGATCCATCACCATCACCATCCCAAGGATTGACGCCTATGAACATCGAACGTGCCCGTGCGCGGATGCGCACGCGGGAAGTCTCCGAGCGAAAGCAAGTAGGCGATGCGGCGAGTCTGCTGAACGCTGAAAAGCGCAGATAAGCGACTTCTTGTCTACCACATGAACTCCTTACGATGGATCCTTTCATTCAGCCGTGTGCGCTGCGCGGGAACCAGACACCATGATTTTGGACTCACAGTCTGCTACTGAGCGGACTGTTGGCATTGCTTGAATTGGATAGGCCATACACAGCCAAAGGAATGATTGAGATGAAAAGCGAAAAGGAACCAAAAAAAAATAATCGCAATTGGAGATTGAGATATCTTATGCCAACCCGCACAGAGATGAAGGGTTGCACTTATCACGCCGTCAAGGGAAAAGAAGAAACGGTTTTGATCTACTTAGATACCCCCCCTTGCCATGTTTGGAAAGTAGCCGGATTGTGGGTATACTTTAGATGATGGTGTCAGCCACCACCACCATCCTTTTTTTTGTGTCTGTCTTGTTTAGCTCTGGGCTTGATTCTGCTTATATTCTGTGTTGCCATCGCGTGTATAGTACTTTTTATGGATTGATGGAAATCACGGGATACGGGTTTTGTTTTAACGGCCAGCCAATGTATATGAGGCACTTTCTTACTGGTACTGTCCTTTGGGGCGAATCGGAAAAGGAGATCTTTCGACATGCGTCTTTTCCTTGAGACTTGTCTTGGGTGTTGGGCTTCGGGCTCTGTGACCCTGGGGAAGTGGTGATTATGGTAAAGCACTTCATGTCGCAGTATAACTGAGTACTAGTGTTCAGTTGACAGTAGCTTAGCAGGAGAGAACCCCATCCCTAGGGAGTGACGACCTCATGTAAGGGAAGATCCAAAGATCGAGGCCGCCGCACCGGCACCACCACCAACTAAACCCCTCCGCGCGCGCCCTCTCTCCCGCTCCCTCTCCCGCTGCGACCGCCCCTTGATGCCCCTCCGCTGCCTCTCGGGCGTCGACCCCGCCGTAGCCGCCACACTACTACTATCACTCGTCGTCCCTGTACCCCCTTTCGTCCTCCCGGACGGCGACGACACCGCGGAGGACCCCGCCCCGGCCGCCGCAGGGGGCCCGCGATTCGTTCCACTCCCACCAACCCCAAACCGCTCCGCTCCCCCCGGCGGCGGCCGCCTCCACCCGGCCTCGTCCGTCTCATACACCTCCTCGACCTGCCGCGGAACAATCAACCCCGTCGTCGTGATGGGTCCGCCGATCCCGACCCCGATCCGGAACCGCCTGTCGTCTTCCTCGTAGTCTGCCCCGGACGGAGTGGCTGGTGATGCCGCCGCTGCCGCCGCCGCAGCAGCAGCAGTAGCAGTAGCCGCTGGCGACGCGGTCCCGGATCTCGATGCGGATCCCGATCCCAACCGCATCGGATGCTGGATCACGAAGCGATCGCCTTGCAGGCTGGCGGCGGTTTCGGGGTCCTCGGGGCTGAGGAGTTTGGCGAGGAAGCGGCGGCGGGTTTGGGGAATGGACTTGTAGGTAGTTGGTCAGCCTCAGCCAGGAAACGGTAGGGGTTCAATATGGGATGTGGGGAGGGGGACTAGGACTACCTCTTGGGCGGCGAGGGCCTGGACGGTGAGGAGTTCGCGGTCCAGGAGGACGCAGAGGGCGGCGTGGCGCTCTTCGCGGATGCGGCTGCGGAGCTTTTTGTCTTGTTCGAGGGAGGTTTGGTAGTGTGTGTTGGTTGTGGTTGTGGTTGTGGGTTGGTTGCTTGAGGGGGTTGTGGTTGGATTGGAAGGGTTGGTGGTGGTGGTGGTGGTGGTTTCTGTGATTGCGGTTGTGGCCGAGTCGCCTAGTGTGGTGCCGTTTGTGGTGGGGAATTGGTGCAGGGGGTTTATTATTGGTCCTGTTTTGATTCGGGTCGTTTAGTAGGTGTGTGTCGCTATAAAAAACAGAAAGGGACGAGAGACGTACTGTTCTGCGTCCGTTGTAGCTGGGATAGCTGCTGCTGCGCTAATACATGCGCCGGCAGGCGGTGCGGACGCCTGCCGATGGAGTCGGAGGTGGAGGTATCGGTGTCGGAGTTGTACGGGTGATCCTCTTGGTCGTTGTCGTCGAGGATGATGGGGTCGTCGTGGTCGTGGCCGTGGCTGTGACCTGAAGGCACGCCGTGGATGCTGGGGTGGAACATGTTGCAACCAGTAGTTCTCGCTTCTTCGGAGGATGTTGTCGAGAAACAGTTCACGATGAGGGAGTTGTGTATCGCTGCCTCGGCGGGGGCAAGTCTTGGGATGGAATGCGCTCTTCAGGCGCCGGGGTTGTCCACTATCGAGTGGTCGTATTCGTGATTGGGTGGGACGTGTGAAGTCGGCTTTGCGTCAGATACAGAATGTACGAGAGAGCGCGTGAGGTCCTTGTGCCGGTTCTCTGGGACGAGTACAAGCACCCAGCAGACACTAACTGCGGGCGTCGGGTATGCGATATAAGGTGGGGTAGCAGTACAGCGAGGCGACAGATGTATAGGGTCGAACCTGACCAGCAGGATGATCGGTTGGGATGGACGAGTCGGAGTCGGGAGGGCAGGCAGTGGTTTGAATGTGGGGGGCGGACGGCGGAGATGATGCAGTTTTGTTGTCCCTGTTTGCACTGTACTGTACGGAGTATTGTACCTGTGCAAATCCAACGTCATCGACCGACCGCCTTTTAGGCTCGGCTTGTTTACCGAACAACTATATCCGAGAATAAGCTGCACGTACTCAAGTAGGAGTATTCGAAAGATTGGTTTCAAATTAATCCATTCATCGTTCTCTCAATTACGTACTATGTGCTTCTGGTCCATGGAAATGAACAAAATGTTCTGGTGAAGAAATGTGCTAAAGCCATTCATTCCCAAATGTCCCCAATACGGAACTTGTCCCGGTATCGTTGATCTGTGGTGGGAAAATGGTATCCCTGTTGTGTTCGTGAAGGGGCTGATAAGACTTGAGTGAAGCATCGGATTGTCAGGCAATGGATCCCTGAGCTGCGCCCAAGGAGAGAATCCTCCTGCATTTCCGCGAGTACTGGTCGTGCTGCTGGAATTATGATTCAAACAATCATTCAAAAAGTTCAGCTCCCGACCCGGCTGGCATCCTTATCGGTAGTGGTGGCTGGGAGAATACTGGGCTCAAGGGCGAAGAAGAACCTCGTGGACTCTGTTGTTGAAAGGAAAGCAATATCTGTAGCATACATCAGTGCTGGGAAAAAGGCTCTCTAGCACCTATTGAGAGAACCCATGTTGTGACCTCCTTCTTAGATTCACACCTCACGTGAAAAGGAAAAATCCATACTCTCGCAGACACCCATATCCGGTAACTCCTCAGTAGTAGTAGTCTAATTCATACTACGCTATGGTCTTTAAAAAAAGGTATTTGCCTTGCGGTTGGCACTCAACAGCTCTCAACATCCGTCCCATTGAGTCTATCCATCCCCACCTCGAATAAGACCCTAAATAATAATAAAAAGTCATATCTCCACTCACACAAACCAAGATAAACAAGGCAGAAAATCAATCAGCAGAAGTATGCCAGCATGCGAGATTGATTAGATGACAGAAAATGTGAATGAGGGAAAAGTCAACTGCGAGAGGGGGTGAAATCGAAAGAAAGGAGAAAAGTACATCGGAAGTATCTCTAAGAAGAAAGATGCAAATAGAATAAAGGCGCAACGACCCACCCAGAACCTATACCACACAGATACACGCGTCTCCCCTCGGAACGCCATAAAAAAACAACAATGCCGCTAAAAAATGACTAATGACGCCCTCATCGAAGTGCCGCTGATATCTGAACCTTTTCGTCCGCGTGGCCAAATGGCCAGCCAGGTCGACACGGCGGGCTTTGTGAGGGCTGGTAGTTGATCGTATTACTCTGAAAGTTCGTGGCGAGTGAGAGAAAACCGTCTAACACCCATGCATCAAGGTGTTTTGGGGCCATTCATAACCAGCGCCGTCCCTGAGAGATGTCAGTATACATGAAAAATGACTGAAAGAAGGTGGGAAATCATACCAAGTAGTTTTGTTTACATTATGGTAAGCCTCCGGATGCCTGGCAATGTAGTCCGTGGTCTCGTAGCCCGGTGGATCACAGGTGACGCTGGTGTGCTCGGGGTCCTGGTATATCCGAATATAGTCGAATCGCATGTACCCAGGCAGGTAGCTCTTGATGCTCTCGTTGATCGGGGCAAAATTCCAGGCCATGCCCAGGTTCATGACGATTGACAACGGCTCAACGGGGATCAGTCTTTGGCCGACGTTTCCATTAGGTCCAATGGCGCGACCATCCAGAGTCCAAGTCTTGTCCTGGCCGACAAACCAGGTGATATCGCCTGTAGCACCGGGGGTGTATTCAAAGGCGTAAACCTGGTATTCCGAGCCGTTGTACCAGTTGTTGTTGAGGTTGGTGAGGCCCGACATAGCCTGCTGATACGGGCCTCCGCGGTAAGAGTTGATCTCTGTAATACTCGGATCATAGACAGCGGTGAAATCTGCGACCCGGTCAGAGAGATAGGGAGAAGAACACGGAGCGAACTCACCATAATCAGGCATATACCAAATATCGAACGGCGCCATCTGCAGACTCTGCGACACGGAGCCGATATAAGCGTTCTGATCACCATTCAAGGCAATGACATTAGCTTCGAGCACGTCAATCTCAGGTGCGCCACGCGATTTCCCTGGGGAAGGATGATCCGCGCCAGCGCACGTGCATGCAGGGAGGCGCATCCCCGGAAGGAAGTTGATACCGTCCGGGGAGCTTTGGTTGGGGGTGATGCCGGCGTCGCATTCGTCGTGGTAGCTATACGGCCACATGCCTTCAGTTGTGGCAGCATAACCAGGTCGACCTAGATTCCCCATGGCCCAAAAGCCTGGCCAGAAACCAGATACATCACCGGAGCCGGGAAGTGAGATACTCGCCTCTAAGCGACCACCGGAGAAGCACAACTTGTTCCAGCTTTGCATCATACCCGACCGATAAGAGACATTGTGATTGGCGAAAGCGTCAAACCGAATCTCAAGGTTTCCATCTCGTGTTGTTACTGCATCCGGGTCATACCACTGTGCGCGACGTTAGTTACCACGATGAGGTTCCACGGCAGGCAAACAAAAGCGTACCTCCAAGTCCTGCGTGACACCATACCACAGGTCAACTGCTTGAAAGTAGGCATCGTCATCATCGTAGAATGTTCGGCCCGGAGTGTTGAATTCATCCGAAAACTGCATTGCAAAAAATCAGCCACAATTCCAGAGACCAAGCCCGCGGTATGCTGGCTGATTCCATCCCCTTTTGGGAAGCAAGCCGCATCCTTACCACTAACTGCCATTCCTTGCCATCCGCCGTTGTCTTGCTCATGGCTGACTTTGGCGTTTCCGGGTCTATCAAGCCGGTCCGAATATTGGCCAGCATGGGCTGCTGGCCGACATCGAGACACAAGGGATCAGTTTCATGACATGATGGTCTTGACGGTTTTCTGAAGCTCTCTACCGCCGACCTGGAAAGAAGAAAAGGTAATCAGCATTCATTCTCCGTACAAAACAAAACAAAAGATCCGGGGAGGGAGAAGAGGAAAGAGGGGGGTGGTTGTCTTCCCCCCCCCCGGCAACCCCGTTCTCCCTCCCCCGATCAAACTAGATTGCATCCATACATGACAGGGTAGCCGATAAACAACACCAAGAAGCCTATAGTGATCAGGATCAAACCCCCAACATTTGCAATCCCGCGCCTGTTCCATATGTCGCACTCTTGATCGTCGTTAGGGTTCGGCTCGTGCAGGTAGTCATCCTTTTCAACATCCTCGGGGAAAAGCAGCAGTCCCTCCATGGGCATGATGTTGTACTTCTCCGACACCGTCTGCGTGTTCACATCCACCTCATCGCTTCCTGCGCGTGACGGGGACCGTAGATCTTCGAACGGGGTATACACATACCCGCGGGTGTCCGCGCTGACGGCACCCTCGGAGCTCCAGCTCGTGCGCCGCGACGACCGGGTCGACAGCTCCGTCGACCGCATGCTATCCATCTCCTCCCGGTGGCCGCGGTACGGCCGCGGCGGGATCAGGAACTCGGTCGACTCCTGCGGTGTCGGCGACCCCCACATCGTCGTTTGCAACGTGCCATCCGACGGCGACTGTACCATCCCTGGCGTCAGCGCCCGTCCAATATGCGGGTGTGGCACCGACCCATAGCGATCATCGGAGTCGGCGAAGGGGTCTTGACGTCCTGAGTTGAGCCGGATGTGAGGAGTTCCACGTCCCGTAGATTTAAAGGACATATTGGTGCGATATGGCGTTTCCGTCCCAATCCCAGCAACAATTCCGTGCCGTTCTCAGTTGCTATTGATTCACTGTCACCCGCAAGCACAAGATCTGACGCTGGTCTGTTGATCCACCGTCGGGCCTGTTGTTTCCTGAACCGGTCGACTTGGGGTGAATGGGATCTGCAGGCTTGTTGACTGGAGAACAGCCTCGCTTGTGTTATGGTCCCGCACTCGCAGCAGACACTAGATCTCCATAAATCACGAAGCAACCTTCTCGACACTGTTGTCCACCGTGGTTGAATTGATGATAGGTTACGCGGTAATGACTGTAGTCGAGGCAAGGGCGACGTAAAGAGGGACAGTTGACGCGTGATGAATTGTAAAAGAGACTGAAACCAATCCAGACGAAACAGTGCACTCAATGCTCACAGACAAGGCCCCAGTGGCTGCGCCGACATGAAGATACGCGCGCGCTGGAAAAGGATTGGCAGGCTCACCCAGTCTAGAGGTGGGTGATGTTAAAGAAGGGTTGAGCGAGGACTGTCGCGCGCAGACAGTGTGGAAAGGAAAGAAAGAGAAGGGAAGCGAGCGATGGAGGGGAAATGCAAAAGAATGGTACAGGGAGAGAGGGCGCGAATGGAGGTTGGTTGGAAGCAATGCGGCCCGTCGCCCAAAGGGGGTGTTGAAAAAGCGCGATGAGTAAAAGACTGCAATGGAGTCAAGAAGAAGAAGAAGAGGAAGAGAGTAAGAAGAGGACAAGAGCAAGGATACAGAGAGATCAAGGTCAATTCAGGCCTGGCTGCACCGACTTCCAGAGCCTATTTTTCTGGTTTCGCCTTTTCCTCCGTTTCCCAAATTCTTTCCATGCGATAGATGACAATGGTTACATAGATGGTCAACTACTATTACGGAACCCTGGCACTGCAGGTACAGTACATACAGGCAGACACTGCAGATTGACTTGACTGCC